CTCTCTCTCTCTCTCTCTCCCTTTCTCACTCTCTCTTTAAAAAAAGAAAAGAAGAAATCTGCCCTACAAAAAAAAAAAAGAAAAAAAGAGGAAAGGCTTAGCTGAACACAATGTCACACACTACAATTCCAGTGACTCTGTAGGCTGAAGGAAGTTGAAGGGGCCAGTCTGGGCAATTCAGACCCTGTCTCAAAATAAAAAATAAAAAAGTCTAGGATATAGCTCTACAGTAAAGCACCCCTGGGTTTAATCTCTAGTACTGCCAAAAAGAAAATAAAAGGGGTGGGGGGAAACAATTGTCTAAGTTTCCAGTTGAAGAAGTAGAAAAGAAGAGAAAATTGGACCCAGAAGAGAAGAAGTGATAACTACAAGGAGAGAGAACAGTGAAGAGGGAAAAAAATCTAAAAAAGCCAAAAGTTGTTTATTTTAAAAGATTAACAAAATTGACAAATCCCCAGAAAATTGATAAACCATTAAGTAAAAATAAAATTGACCAACATCAGGAATGAAAGAACTACTGTAATTGCAGAGCCTAAAATTATAAAAGGATAAGAAAACATCATGAGGTCTGGGGTTGTGGCTCAATGGTAGAGCACTTGCCTAGTACATGTGAGATACTGGGTTTAATCCTCAGCACCACATAAAAATAAATAAATAAAATAAAGGTATTGTGTCCATCTACAAGTGAAAAAAAATAGGAAGAAAACATCATGAATAAATAAATAAAATGGGCTGATTACTTAGTAAATATTTTTAACAAAACTAACACAAAATGAAGTAGAAAATCTGAATACTCATACATCCATTCATAATATAAATTTGCAGTAAGAAATATTCTGAGGGCTAGTAATGTACCTGAATGGTAGAGTGCTTGCTTAGCATGTGTGAAACCCTGAGTTTTAATCCCAGCTCTGCAAATACAAATAAAAATTAAATAAAATAAAAATATTTACAAAAAGAAAATCTGGATGCTATCAAACATTAAAGAAAATAATCCCAATCTTTTGGAAAACAGAAAAGAGAGCACTTCCCAACTTATTTCAAGAACAGTACATCCCTAATATCAAAACCAGGAAGAATTATGACAACAGAATATTACAGATTTTATATTCTCATGAACATAGATGCCAAAGTCTTTAACAAAACATGAGTTGTGATGAGCTTATCCAGAGGCTCCAAGATGGCTTCATTCATATATCTAGTGCCTTCTTGAAGACACTAAAACATCTCATACGTCTTCTCCACCATGATGGCTTCATGGTGGGAAGACGTCTCACTTGGTAGATTAGACCGCTCAGAGAAAGACACTAAATTGACACTATTGCATCTTAAACAAGTCACTAAGGGTTGCTTAGATAAGAGCATAGAATTAAGCTCTACTTCTTAATAGAAGGAGTGAATAATTTGCATCAATCTTTTATCTGTTACATTATCCAAAATAAATGAAAGTGTATATCCAGAAATAGAACATTGAGAAGAATGTTTATAGCTGCTTTAATCATAAGAATTCTGACATGGAAACAATCCAAATGTCAATCAACAGAGAAATAGATAAATTTCTTCTATTGAATACTGTTCCACAATTAACAAAAGCAAAGGATTCATGCATGCAACAGCATGGTTCATTCTCAAAAACATGTTGCAAGGATGAAGCTGGATACAAAAAAGACTGTATGGTTCCTTTTACATTAAGAACAAAAACTAACCTATGATAATAGAAAACTCTTGAAAGCAGGAGAGGGACTCATCAGACAGACATGAGGTCATTTTCTGGAGTAATGGAAATATTCTGTGTGTATGAGTGTGTGTGTGTGTGTGTGTGTGTGTGTGTGTGTGTATGTGTGTGTGTGTGTGTGTGTGTGTGTGTGTTTTCAGTGCTGGGGATTGAATCCAGGGGTACTCTACCACTGAGCTTTACATCCCAGAAATTTTTATTTTGAGACAGCATCTTGTGAAGCTGCTGAGGCCAGCCTTGAAATTGCTATCCTCCTGCCTCAGTCTCCTGAGTTGGTGGTGGATTACAGGCATGTGTCACAATACCCAGATGCCATAAGTCTCAATTGGATTGAAACTATAAATTACCAAGGCTTTTCCAACTATCCCACACACATGAAAACAAGACACTTTACTATACGTAAATTGTGCCTCCATTTTTTAAAAAGGACACAATAACATTGTTGGCAAGACAGTAGCAATTACATGAGTATAATTTCAGTACCTTAAAACTGAATAAAGAAGATGTAGAACATATTTATGATATATGACATATAGGGTGTTGTTTTTTTTTTTTTTAAAGTACCAGGGATTGAACCCAGGGGCACTTAATCACTGTGCCACAACCCCAGCCCTTTTTATTTTTTATCTTGAGACAGGGTCTCACTAAGTTACTGAGGCTGGCTTTGAATTTGCCTCAGCCACCCGAGCTGCTAGGAATACAGTTGAGTGCCACCACGCCCAGCCAGCATATAGTATTTGCTAAATATTTAATACATATTGTCTACTAAGTCTTTTTACACTTATCTCAGTCTTTTAAAAAATATTTTTGTAGCTGTGGATGAACCTTTATTTCATTTATTCATATGCAATGCTGAGGATTTAACCCACTGCTTCACACATAGACAAGTGCTCTACCACTAAGCTACAAACCCAGCCCACACTTACCTCAGTCTTTAAACTCTGTGAATTAGGTAATACCTGTTTATACAAGTGAGGAAATGTTTGGAAAGATGAAATAACTAGCCCAAAGTCACAGTAAGTGGCAGAGTCGGGACTCAAACCACGCCCAATTAAAACCTTAATCATCATCTGCCTGCAGGGGCACACACAGAGGAAGAGTTTCAAAAGGGCACATGGCATGTGAGTGTGGTTTCTTAAAGGCAGATTTACTACTGGGTGTTGGAGAACAGAGACTTTCAATTGTAGAAATTTATGATAGGTGTCTTAATATCACACAAAAATCCACAAATCATTCAGATTTTAAAAATGGAAAGTATGAGGCTGGGATTGTGGCTCAGTGGTAGAGTGCTTGCCTAGCACATGCAAGCCACTGGGTTCAATCCTCAGCACCACATAAAGATAAATAAATAAAGTTATTATGCCCATGAATAACTTAAAAAAATATTTTTTAAAAAATGGAAGGCATGGGCTGGGGATGTGGCTCAATCAAGCGGTAGCGCGCTCGCCTGGCATGCGTGCGGCCCGGGTTCGATCCTCAGCACCACATACCAACAAAGATGTTGTGTCCGCCGAGAACTAAAAAATAAATATTAAAAAAATTCTCTCTCTCTCTCTCTCCTCTCTCACTCTTTCTTTTAAAAAAAAATGGAAGGCATGAATGAGGAAGGGTGCAAAGTTAACATACTGTTAAGGACTTAACAGACTGTTCAGCATAACAGTTGAAAGCATGTCTCTGTAGAATCCCTGAGTACTTAGTCTTAGCTTTGCTGCTTCTGGCTTCGTGACCTTAGAGAAGTTTCTTAACTCTCAGCACTGTCTTTAGAGAGCTGTTGAAAGGATTCATAGAGTTAATTAATACATGTAAAAGGGCCAAGAATGTCCCCCAGCATGAAGTAAGCACTCCAGAAATAGTATTTCTTCCTATTTGAAAGTGAGATTGGTTTGCATCTATATAATGTGCTCAGTTGTTTTAGGTTTATCCCTACAGGAACCTTCTGAAATCAATGCCATTACTTTTGTTCAAGCCCAAGTTATGAAGCTAGAGCATGACAGGCTAGGTCTTAAACAGAAATCTTGACTCCAAAACTGGGGCCTTTCCCTTGTAGAGAACTAAGGATGGTGGAAGATTCATTTTCATCTTTAGTAATAAAGTTATTCTTTCCTTCCAGGTTTGAATCTCTATTTACTGACCTGGAAATGAAGCAGACAGAGCTGGGAATCACCAGCTTTGGGGCTTCTGTCACTACCATGGAGGAAGTGTTCATTAGGTAAGCAAGAATTCAAATGTATACTCCAAGGACCCTAAATATCATCTATGTAAAAATTTCCTAGTGCTTAAATCTCTTCACAAACTGGCCTCACTGAATGATTGTCCAGTCTCTGACCAGTGCTTCCGATAATGAGGATATTGGATAATGGAGATGATGTTAAGTATAATATTATTCAACAAAATTTACTTATTTATTCATTCATTCATTTATTAAACTTAGGATCTCACACATGCTAGGCAAGTATACTACTACCTAACAAACTTAATTTTAACAGAAATTTCTAACGAATGAAAACAGAAAAATGCATTGTATTGGTCGGGATGCTTTTGCCTACAAATAATAGATAATTATTTAAACCAGCTCCTACTCACCTGGTTTAAACATTTAGGAAAATTTAATACTTCTTTTTATAAATTTTTTATATATGTTTAGTTATTGATGAACCTTTATTTATTTACTTATATGTGGTGCTAAGACTTGAACCCAGTTCCTCACACATGCTAGGCAAGTGCTCCATCACTGAGCCACAAAACCAGCCCTCAATACTTCTTTTAAAAAGAATTTCCAACAGGCTGGGGATGTGGCTTAGAGGTGGAATCCTTGCCTAGAATGCACTAGGCCCTGGGTTCCATCTCCATCGCAAACAAAACAAAACAAAAAACCAAAGCAGGAAAGCTCTGGGTTTGGCTGGCTTACCCATCAAGCAATATCAGTATCCTGAAGCAAGGATGCAGGCTCAATTCTACGAAGGTTTTTATGGATCATTATATACAAACTACCCAAGGGGACACAACAGGCTAGAGGGTGGTAAGGAGTATGGGTCTGGTTTTATCCAGTCTAGCAATATTTATGTTTTAACTGGCAATATGTAGTCTATTTATGAGTACTAATGATATATTCTAATTTATATCTGTCATTTTATTTATATTTTCTACCAGAACTGCCTATCATATATGGCTTTTTAAAAAAAAAATTTTAGGTAATAGACACAATAACTTTAAATTATTTACTTATTTTTATGTGATGCTGAGGATTGAACCCAGTTCCTCATGCATGCCAGATGAGTGCTCTACCATTGAGCCACAGCCTCAGCCCTATATGGTTTTTTTTTTTCTCTCTTTTTTGGATGTTTTTTCCTCATTCTATTTTCACCTCTCGCCACACACTAGTTGGAAATTTTGCATTATTGCATTATTTCGGTGATCAGCTTTCTCAGAACTTTCCTTCTGCTGGCAATGTTCTCTATAAGTTGTTTTCATTTGTTCATTTTTATTTTTGTTTTGTTTTATGCTGGTGCAAAGCTCTTGGGTATTTTGAGATGAAAAAAAAAAGTGTGTGTGTGTGTGTGTGTGTGTGTGTGTGTGTGTGTGTGCGCACGCGCGCATAGGTACCATGATTAAACACAGGGATGCTTAACCATGAGCCACATCCTAAGCCCTTTTTTAATATTTTGTTTAGAGACAAGGTCCCACTGAGTTGCATAGGGCCTCAATAAGTTGCTGAGGCTGGTTTTGAACTTGTGATCCTCCTGCCTCAGCGGAGGATTACAGGCATGCGCCACAGTGCCCAGCTGAAAGAATATTTTTGAAATAATTTTATTCCTTCCTCATTTTTGAAGATTATTTTAATCAGGTTGAAAATTGTTTTCCTTTACTACACAAAAAATAGTATTTCATAGTCAGCGGTTGCTGGGGAAGAGCCACTGGGTTCATCCATTGGTTCTTTGAAAGTAATTTGGATGCTCTTTGTTTTCACTGCTAGAGTTTCTCTATAATGTATCCATGTTTGTGGGAGTTTTGTTTTGTTTTTGAGATTTTTAGCTATTCTGCTTTATCTGATGAACTTCCATGAATTGAGAATGTCTAGCCATTATCTGTTCATACAGTGCCTCAACTCAAACTTCCTTTCTTATTTTGGAGCTCCAGTTAGATGTATGAGATCTTCTCACTGTCTGAACTGTGTAAATCTGAATCTTAACTCCTTTTTCACATTTTTTATGTGGTACTCTCCCTGAGCTACATTCTGTATAATGTTTTCTGATCTGACATTCAGATAATTGATTATCTCTCCAAATGTTTCTGATCTTTAGTTAAATAATTCCATTGAGGGTTTTTATCCAGAATTACTTTTGCTGTTGTCATTGATGAGAATAGAATTACATTTCTATTGAAGTATAATGTATACCAAAAGGTGCACAGGTATTAAGCCTACAGCTCAGGGTTTTTTTTAATTGTTGGAGTTTTGCATGTTTTGGACACTAGTCCTTTGTCATAAATACATCTTGCCTATATTTTCTTCCAATTGATGCTTTTTTTAAAAAATTTAATTGATTTTTTAAAAAACAAATGACAGCAGAATGCATCGCAATTTTTTTTAAAAAGAGAGAGAGAGAGAGAGAGAGAATTTTTTAATATTTATTTTTTAGTTTGTTTTCGGCTGACACAACATCTTTGTTTGTATGTGGTGCTGAGGATCGAACCTGCGTCGCACGTATGCCAGGCAAGCGCGCTCCGAGCTACCACTTGAGCCACATCCCCAGCCCCTGCAATTCTTATTTACACATATACAGCACAATGTTTCATATCTCTGGTTGTATATAAAGTATGTTCACACCAATTCGTGTCTTCATACATATACTTTGGATAATGATGTCTATCACATTTCACCATCCTTGCTAACCCCTTGCCCCCTCCCTTTCCCTCCCACCCCTCTGCCCTATCTAGAGTTCGTCTGTTCCTCCCATGCTACCCCTCCCTACCCTACTATGAATCAGCTTCCTTAAATCAGAGAAAACATTTGGTATTTGTTTTTAGGGGGGGATTGGCTAATTTCACTTAGCATTATCTTTTCCAACTCCATCCATTTACCTGCAAATGCCATGATTTTATTCTCTTTTATTGCTGAGTAATATTCCATTGTGTATATATTCCACACTTTTTTTTATTCATTCATCTACTGAATATCTAGGTTGGTTCCACAGTTTAGCTATTGTGAATTGTGCTGTTGTAAACATTGATGTGGCTGTGTCCTTGTTATTGTTTTTTTATGCCTTGTCTAAAATATAATTTGCATACCCTTAAATCACAAGTCTATTTCCCTACTTTCTTCTAGGAACTTAATCATTTTAGCTTTTATGTTAGCTTATTATTTTTCTTGCAATTATTTTATGCAAGTTTAATAAGGGATCAAAGTTCATTTTCTTCCACATGGATTTCCAGTTGGGACACACTATTTGTTGAAAAGACTACTTTCTGTGTTAAATTGTTTGCATATCTTCACCAAAAGTCAGTTGACTATATAATTTTCTACATTCTACAGAATGTTCCACTGATCTATTTTGTCCTAAGCCAATACTACACTGTTGAGTAGTATTGTAGTATTGTAGCATGTCTTACAGTCAAGCAGTAGATAGTTGCTTAAGCTTTGTTTTATTTTTTGAAGATGGTTATAGCTATGATAAGTCTTTTGCATTACTGTGTAAATTTTTAAATAAAAATTCACATTTCTATTTTTTTAAATATTTTTTAGTTATACATTGGCATAATATCTTTATTTTGTTTACTTATTTTTATGTGGTGCTGAGGATCGAACTCAGGGTCTCTCACATGAGAGGTGAGTGCTCTGCTGCTGAGCCCCAGCCCCATTTCTATTTTTTTAAAAAGCCTTATTAGTGGCACACAGCTGTAATCCCAGAAACTTTGGATCACTGAGGCAGGAAGATGGTAAACTTAAAGTCAGCCTCAGCAATTGACCAATACCATCTCTCAAAATTAAAAAAATAAATAAAGGGCTGGGGATATATCTCAGGGTCAAAGTGTCCCCCTGTTTTCAACCCCCAGAGAAGGAAGAAAGAAAAGAAAGGAGAGAGAAGCCAAGCACTGTGGTGCATACCTGTAATCCCAGTAGTTTGGGAGGCTAAGGCAGGAGGATTGCGAATTCAAGGCCAGCTTGGACAACTTAATGAGACCTCATCTCAAAATAAAATGAAAAGGTCTGAGGATGTAGCTCAGTGGCAGAGTACCCCTGAAAAAGGAAGAAAGAGGAAAAGGAGAATCTGCTGGAATACTATATCATCAGTTCTGATGATGAACCATACTAAAATAAGATGCTAATAATAGAGGGAGGGGGTGATGGGATCCTATGGGATCCTCTCTGTACTTCCTGCTTTTGGAATTGGGTCTAACAGTCCCAGTCAAGCCTTCAGACAACTGCAGCCCTCATCCATATCTGGACTGCAGCCTCATGAGAAACCTTGAGATAGAATCATCAGCTAATACATTTCCAAATTCCTCACCCACAGACACTGTGTGAAATAATAAATATTTACTGTTGTTTTAGCTGCCAACTTTGGGGATCACCTGTGTAACAGCAATGAATAACAAGTACACCACCTTTTACAGAACAGTGCTGAAGGGGAAATTAATCACAACTTACTGGGTATTTTGCTGTGACAAATTCACAGAAATAGAATAATAACTCAAAGGCCAGGATCATAAATACATTTCTTGGCCATGAACACTTTGCTAACGACAAACTTTTCTTTTTTTCCCTAGGGCAAGGATCAGTAACTTTTCCTTAAAGGTCCTGATTGTATTTTATGCTATATAGGCTTTATGGCACAATCAAGAGTGTTATGTCAGTACTTACATAACCACCTAACATGTAACCTTTTTAAATTTTTCTTGTAGTTGTTAGTGGACAGTAGGCTTTTATTTGTTTACTTTTATGTGGTGATAAGGATCAAACCCAGTGCCTCACACATGCTAAGCAAGCACTCTACCACTGAGCCACAGCCCCGGTCCCACCTAACAGGTAACATTTTAAAAATGTAAAATCCATTCTGAGCTCAGAGCCAGTCAAAAATTGGCCTTGGCTGAATTTGGCCCATAATTATAGTTTACCATCCCCTGATCAAGGGTCTCAGTAGTGCTATATTTTATAATTTTCAATTTTTCTCATAAAATAGATATTAAATTATATGTCATTTTATTCTAATTTTCATTCAGTATTTTTATTTATTTATTTATCATTTTAGTTGTCAATGAACCTTTATTTTATTTATTGCTATTCGGTGCTGAGAACCAAACCCAGTGCCTCACACATGCTATTTATTTATTTATTTATTATAGGCTTTATGGCCCAGCTCTTAGGATCTCAGTGCACATATTTTGTCCTTGGGACTGAAACTGGGGGCACTTTACCCCTGACCTACATCCTCGGCCCTTTTATTTTGAGACAGGGTCTCTTTAAGTTTCTTAGGGCTTCATTAAATTGATGAGGCGGACAATCCTTCTGCCTCAGCCTCCTGAGTTGCTGGGATTATAGGTGTCTGCCACTGCATCTGACTCATGTGGTACTTTTAAAAGAAAATAACAAAAGCTGTTTATGCTAGTGTTGTCTCAGCTCTTTGGAAAAGCCATTGGTTAGTTAACTCAATATTTAGTGCTTATATAAGAATTTATAGCTGGACTCCAGTGGTACTTGCCTATAATCCCAGCTGCTTGATGCAGGAGCACAAATTCCAGGTCAGCCTCAGCAATGTAGTAAGATCCTGAATCAAAATAAAATAAAATATAAAGGAATGGGGATGTGGCTTAGTGGTAAAGTACCTCTGAGTTCAATCACCAGCAATGCAAAAGCAATTAAAGATTTTTTAAAAAATCTTGCTACCCAGGATATAATCTAGATATAGCTCCTATTCTGCTCATTATTCTTAACTTCTTAATTTTTCAAATATTATATGACTTTCATTGTTTAAGTCCAATCAAAATGAAATATATTGTGATTTTGAGAGTTTGTATTTGTTTTTGTTTTTGATTTGGTTTAGGGTTTGTATGATGGCAGACTACAGTACAGATATTTCAGCCAAGAAGCAACCCTCTATTCATCCCTATTCCCTGATTAGCAGAGTTCCTGTTGAAAGAATTAAATATCTTCATTCAAGGATCTTCTCATTACAGACTGGTTTACCAATCACACTAAACACTGGAGTAAGCAGCATATTCCAAGTGCATACTAGAAAGGTTTAATTCGTGAAATCACACAATCATTTTGTCAAGAAGTACACATTAACTTTTGAAGGGTCTGTATATAAATGTGCAATTTTTAAGTTTTAAGGACCAGGTCTGCCAGGTTTTGGCAGTATGACACTTTTTGCTTTATTTTGAAAGCAAAAGAGTGATGTTTTAGAGAAGGATTAACCCATTCAAATGGAAGGAAAGTATCAGAAGACATTCTAGTAGGTTCCTGGTCATTCCTCTCACAGGGAAAAAGAGAGAATGAAAGAAACACACTACTGGCCAGAATATGTATTCATTCCTTCACTGTGAAGCAGATTAATTTATACATTCTACCATCTGGAATATAAAAAATTTTAAACATATCCTTATGATGTGGATAACCTATAATATTCTCTTAATATTGAAAAAAGAATATTGACATACATTTTACAAAGTGGTCTTGATTTAGCTGTCTATAAGTATTAATGTAAAATAAGACCATCATGGTCCCAAGTCTTCTCATGAAGTATTACTGTGTGTGACTTCAGATAAGTCATAGCAGAGCCTTTTGGTAAATGCTGAAAGTGATTGTAGCCTCCACCATACTGAGAGTTTCCCCTGGTGGTGTCTGGTAGATAAAATCTTTCAGAAATCAGTCAGTATTTTGGCCATTAATTCAGAAGCCTGTCTCAGACCTGACCACCAAGCTAAGAGGCAGTGGCACCTGGGCCTGAAAGCCCTCCCACACATACCCACCCATGCAGCACCCCACAGAAGCTAAATGGATGCATGCAGCACTACCACCAAGGGTCACCCACCCCAGGCCTGACTCCAGCTCTTAGGATCTCAGTGCATATAACTGCACACTTCAACATTGTCTATTATTGCCACCAGGGATATCTTTGTGCACCAGTTTTGCATATTTACTTGTAGGATACATGACCAGAAGAGGAATTTCTGGATTAAAGATTATGTAAATATTAAATTTTAATTTAAATTTTCAATATTAAAATTAAATTTGTAATTTAATATTTGTATTTGTGTTCATCCAGAAAACTTGTTTTCTGGAGAAGTTGTGCCAAGTGAAAACCCATCCAACACTAGCATTTTCCCTACATTCTTCTCTTTTTTTAATTTTTATTTTTTAGTTATAGGTGGACACAATATTGTTATTTTATTTTTATGTGGTGCTGAGGATCGAACCCAGTGCCTCACGCAGGGCAGGTGAGCGCTCTACCTCTGAGCCATAACCCCAGCCCCCCTACATTCTTCTTAACTTAAAATTTTTACCAGTCTGTGGTGAAAAAAATGGTATCATTTACATTTGATATCTCTAGTATCTTGAGTTGCACTTCCAGATCCTTTCTAATTTACACTCTCTTTTTGTCACTAAACATAAATCATAAAGCATTTTAATTTGAAGTGAATTTTGAACATAATTTAAAAATTAATTAGAATAATCTGAGGAGACTATAAGTGGTTATGAGCCAGGGACCACCTGAGTGCCTCTAGCTTTGGTCACCATGTTGATGCAGTACCTCCTTCTTTTTTATTGTAGTTCAGTCTTCTCTGCCAACAATTCTACGCCATGTTTCTGAAAAGGGTCATATATTCTCGGCGCAACTGGATGGTGATGTTATCTGTACAGATCTTGGTGCCTCTGGTGATCATTATATTAAGCCTCACATTCTTCAACTTTAAAATGAGGAGCATGGGAAGTGTACCCTTACAGTTGGCTCTAAATACATATGGTCAGACTATTGTTGCATTCTTTGTTTCTCAGAATTTCAAACTGGATCCTCAACTTTCAGATCATTTTGCAAATATGCTTGTGGCTCAAGGACAGATTCCTCTGAAAGTCCCAGGTAACTATCAGGCACAGGGCAATGAGGCACAAAGCAGGGCAGTTGTCCTTTGTAGGAAGACAACATTCTTAACTGATAACTGGAAGTCTCAGAAAAAAATCATTCAAACCCCAAATGACACAAAGGCAGGGTTCTTAGAAATGAGACCATGGTATTAAAGCATTCCCCAAAATGAAATTGATGAATTATTCACTATGTTTGAATATGCTGAAAGACTTACACTTCTATCAAGGGAATTTGTGGGTAAATTGGTGATAGATATAAAGAAAACTAAGGAAATGAAGAAAAAAAGAGGACATTATTAATTTCAGGGAAAAAGTTGTACAAAAAGCAATATAGGGCTGGGATTGTGGCTCAGCAGTGCGGCGCTTGCCTAGCATGCGTGAGGCAGTGGGTTTGATCCTCAGCACCACATAAAAATAAATAAATAAAATAAAGGTATTGTGTCCAACTACAACTAAAAATATTAAAATAAATAAAACGAAGTTTAAAAAATAAATAAAGTGGCTGGGGTTTTGGCTCAGCGGTAAAGCACTCGCCTCTCATGTGAGACCTTGGGTTCGATCCTTAGCAACACATAAAAATAAATGAATAAAATAAAGGTATGGTGTCCAACTACAACTAAAAAAATAAATATCTAAAAATAAGTAAATAAATAAATAAATAGGGCTGGGGATATAGCTCAGTTGGTAGAGTGCTTGCCTCACATGCACAAAGCCCTGGGTTTAATACCCAGCAACACATAAATAAATAAATAAATAAATAAAGGTATTGTGTCCAACTACAATGAAAATAAATAAATACTTTAAAAATAAATAAATAAAGGCATTGTGTCAACCTACAACTAATATATATATATATATATATATATATATTTAAAAAATGAAATATACTATTTGGATCAGCTGTGAATATTTTCACTTATTAATAGTAATGTTGAAACTGACTATCAGTTTAACAAAATTATGATGTAACTCTGATGGGAGGACAGGGAGGAGAAATTCTTAGGGCTTGGTGATGATAGTAAGGTAACAAAATAGCTGCTTTCATAATAAAACATCAACAGGTAAATATGCTAAGATATTTGAAAGGGGGTGCCTCTCATGTGCAGGTACCAGTGATGGTGCCGACAAGGCAAGGTACTATTCTTTCCCGATGTGTCTTATAGAAGAAGTATTTGATTTTTTTAAAAATTATATTCTTGTACTATTTTGATTAAATAAAATCATAAAGTAATTACCTTTTTAATAAATTAAGAGATCAAATGCAGAATATAATGTAACAAAATGCTTTGGGTCAGTTGGAGCACCCATGCCTTAATGTGAATCTTAAATAGTCCCCAAAGACCTGTGTGTGGAAGTCTTATACTCTGGAGTTGGAAGGTTGCAGAACCTTTAAGAGGGAGCAAGTGAGAGGTCTTCGGGTCCTTGGGGGTGTGACCTTGAAGTAGAGAGTGGGACCCCAGCCCCTGTCTCTTCCTCTTTTTCACTTCCCAGTCATGAGGTGAGCAATTTGAGCTACCATGCACTGACAACATGATGTGCCACCACAGGTCCAAAGAAATAGGGCTAAATTACTATGGACAGAAACCTCTAACACTATGGGCCAAAATAAACCTTTTCTCTTTATAAGTTGATAATCTGAAATATTTGTCATAGTAAAGGAAAACTGATTAACATATCTTACCTCTCAAAGCATTCATCTCTTCATATACCAAATGGTCACAATACTAAATCCATCCTCATGGTGTCATTGGTACAATCCCATGGAGGAGAGGAGAGCCTACTGCATATTTGGCATAGCTGGTGCCTAGTAAGCATTCAGTCTGCAGTACTATTGTCATTATTGTTGTCATGATCACTGAAGGTCCTGATTCCACTATGTGCTGAAAATGCAAAGATGAACAACATTTCTACCAGTCCTCAAGGAACTTCCAATCCAGAGGCCTTATGGATAAGGGATGGTACTTATGATATACACTGGAAATGATGGATATATCCCAGCCTTGGAAGATCAGAATAGGCTCCAGAGTCAGAACCTGACATATGAGTAGGTATCAGCCAGTAGAAGGGGAAGGTAACCCAAAGAACATTCCAAACAACAAGCAGAACATCTAAAAGCTTGGGGAACTATATGTGCTTTGGTATAGCAGGCACTTCAAGACATGAGGCTGAAGCCAGGTACAGTGGCCCATGCCTCTAATCCAAGCCACTCAGGAGGCTGAAACAGGAGGATCACAAGTTCAAGGCCAATTAGTGAGACCCTGTCTCAAGTGTAGCCCAATGGTAGAGCACCCTGGCTCTTTAATTCCTAACACACACACACACACACACACACACACACACACACACACACACACAGAATAAGAAGAAGGAAAATGAAGGTTTATTCTGGCTAATGGTTCTGGAGGCTGGAGAGTTCAAGAGCATGGTGCTGACATCTGTTCAGCTTCTAGGAAAGGCCCTGAACTACATCATGACATGGTGGAAAGGTGGGAGGGTCACATGGTGGGATAGGAAGCTGAACTCACTTTCACAATTGTTTTCACATAACTAACCCACTCCCAGAAGACATAATTTACTCTCAGTAATCCCTCCACAAGGGTAGAGCCCCCAAGACCCAAACACCTCCTAAGGTCTCATACACTGTTACCTTGGGGTCCAATTTTCTATATCAGTTTTGAAGGGGACAAATGACATCCAAACCATGGCAAGCAGTGAATGGCTTCTGTACATCTCATGCAGAAATTTGACTTTATCAGGAAGGCAGTGGAGGGTCACTGTAGGTTAGTGGGTGGGTAAGATATGATTAGATGTGTCCTTTCAAGCAGAGACTGGAGGTACTGCATAGAAGGCAAGGAGTTTCATTAGAGGCCACATAGTCCAGGCAGAGATGATGGGGCTCAACTCAATTGAGGGAGCGGGGAGAAGTAGACAGAATTGAAAGAGATATAAAAAATGAAAAAACAAGATTGAGAGACTCACTGGAATTCAGAGTAGGGTGAGATAGGAGGAGGCTTGCTTTTGGATATGGGTTGGCATTTGGTGGAAACACCAACAAGGAGCAGTAAGTTGGGGAGAGCTCGGTCAGTCTTCCCTGTTCTGCAGGGACTGTTGTTATGTTCTCTCAATAATTCTTTCTGTCTGCTTGGTATTCTGCTCCCTTCTAGGTCCTGTAGAGGAGTTTCTATTGAAAAAGGCAGAAGCGGAACCCGAGGACTTTAATAGGCTGTATGTGGTAGCAGCTTCCTTTGAAGATGTAGATAACCACACCATAGTGAGAGGGCTGTTCAACAACCAGGCGTACCATTCCCCTGCCTTGGCTCTGACTCTGGTGGACAATTATCTCTTCAAGTTGCTTTCTGGTGCCAGGGCTTCCATTACCGTTTCCAACCACCCTCAACCTCAGACAGCCATGGAGTTCTCAGAGAATGTCTTATACCAGTATGTATAACTTTCCTTCTCTCAAGTTCAAGCTTACTCATCTGTAGGGCTTCTTGCTTTGTTACCTATTTCTTTCTTTGTTTCTTTTTAAAAAATATATTTAGTTGTACATGGAGGTAATGTCTTTATTTTGTTTATTTATTTTTATGTGGTGCTGAGGATCAAACCCAGTGCCTCACACAAGGGAGGCAAGCACTTTACCGCTGGCTGAGCTACACCCCAGCCACCTCTTTGTTTCTTATTTAATTAAAAATTATTATTTTGGAGAGGGCTGTTGAACCCAATTTTACTTAAACTGCTGCCTTTCTCTTCTTATCCTATCTTTTACAGGGGCCCTAAAGGACATTATCTTGTTATCAACTTGCTTTTTGGAATGGCTTTTCTATCTAGCTCTTTTTCCATGTTGACGGTCAGAGAGAGACGAATTAAGGCCAAGCACATTCAGTTCATAAGTGGAGTTTACATGGCTGCTTTCTGGTTCTCCGCTATGCTGTGGGATCTCCTGTCCTTCCTTGTCTGCACTCTGCTCCTGATAGTGAGTGTTGAGTGGTGTTGGGCCCTTTCCTACAAAATGCTTGCCTCGGTGACACCTGTGTGAAACTGGAACCAGCTCAGAAATCCAGCCTGGCAGCCCAACCCTGACTAGGGGTCCTAGGAGTCAAGCTCCTTCAGAGGACCTCAGTAAAAGATGACTCAGCTGCAAACATCCTTAGGAACAGTGGGCCCTGCTCTAGGGCCTTTATGCAGCACCTACTGTGCTGCTGCCTCAAGCTAATGAGAAGCAATGCTCTGGGGATGTGTGTTTATTGTCCATAAATATATCTCCAGAGAAATGACAGGTTGAAATATTTGACTGTAGTTGAATTGAGTATTTTGTGGGTTCCCTAGTTACTTGATGCAGAATGGATCCCTTCCTGCTTTGTTCTCTGCACGCCTTATTGCACTGCACATTTCTAGGGCAGCAACCTAAAAGCAGAGCCCAGAACTTGTTCATCACTGCACAAGTAGATGAGGGAAAGAAAGGAAGTGCCAGTGAAGTATAGCTAACACCTTACTTTTAAAACTGAGGTTACCATATTTATTTTCCAGTGTTTAGGATGGAGTCTTAATGATTTTTCCCAAATCCTTCTCCTTTCCTTAGGTGGTGTTTTTATACTACAAGGAAGAAGCTTTTACACACCATGAGAATGTGCTGGCCATGATCTTGATGTTGATGCTGTATAGCTGGGCTATTATCCCCTTCATCTATGTGATCAGCTTCTCTTTTGACAGTGCTGGTAATGCTTGTGTTAAGCTTGTCATCATGCTCACCTTCTTGAGCATCGGCCCCATTGTGCTCGTCTCAGTCACAGGTGAACAAGGTGAGGGCAAGGTCACTTCCACATATCACATAAAGCTATAATTTTTCCTCCAGCATCTGCAGAATTTGTACCCATTGAAAGTACATGTCCAGGGATGAGGTTGTGGCTCAGCAATAGAGTGCTTGTCTCGCACGTGTGAGACCCTGGGTTCGATCTTCAGCACCACATAAAAATAAATAAACAAAATAAAGACATTGTGCCCGTGTATAACTAAAACAAATATTTAAAAAAGAAAAGAAAAAGAAAGTACATGTCCACCGAAGATCTGTAAGTATTCACAGTAGCTCTGGGTTGAAGAGTTCCAACTGGAATAACCCAAACACACATCTCCAGGAGGATAGAAAAACACTTCTGTCACATCTGTTCAGTAGATCACTGCTCAGCAATAAAACAGGAGCATGCAGCAGTGCAGCTGAATACCATACCAAAGATATAATGAACAAGAGTACACAGTCTGCCATACCTACTGTGAAGACCATGAGCAAACAGAACTAATCCTGGGGACAGAATCAGGAAAGTGATTGCCTTAGGTTGAAGGGAGAAGGACAGGCTAATGTGTGGACACTGGGGACCTTTCTGGAGTGATGAGATGTTCATTGTCTTGATTGGGGTTGACTACATGGGCTTATATACTTATGAAAAATCCATCAAATTGTCTACCTACAATCCTTGAATTTCAATAAAATGAATTATTCTTTAAGAAAAAATATAATATTTACATGTGCCAAGGTTGAGGGAAGGATGTTTGGTGAGTGTGTAATCAGAGTTTAAAAAAAACTTAAACTGAGCAGCATTCACAAGTTACACCTAGAACCGGAATCTTCATGTTTATGTTGCCATCTCTCTTTGGGTCAGGGTTGCACAGCCACCTGATACATTACATCTAAAATGCTCTTTTATTTGTATTTATGCAAAAGTCTCCTTCATATTGACTTTGAGGGCATTTTTACTTTAAAATAGGTAACAGGCCAGGCACACTGGCTCACACCTATAATCCCGGCTCCTCAGGAGGCTGAGACAGGAGGATTGCAAGTTCAAGTTCAGCCTGGGCAACTTAAGATCCTGCTTCAAAATAAAAATTTTAAAAGGGCTGCAATGGTATAAAGCTTTCCTACCATGTTTGAGGCCTGGGTTGAAACCCCAATACTGAAGAAAAACAACCACAACAACAGCAAAGTTTCCTTCTGCTTTTATCTTAGGAGTCATTCTGTCTCATAAAGGACTCTTAATAAGAGTTTTATCTCCACAAACTGTAGAGGCTACAACCACATCATTCTTATCTGTCTTTAGGATGTCATTCCAACAGCTGTGAAGCTGACCCCTAGACCCCATTCTATATGGCCTCAGTTGACATCGAACCCATTCATTGCCTTCTTCCCTCCACTATGCCAGCGTGGTAGCCTTACAGTCACTGACTTTTCCAGACACACTATGTTCTTTCTTATTGTCCTGCATGAACAGATAGAATAGAAGTAAAATGTCAGGCTGGGGGCTGTGTCACATGCCTGTGATCCCAGAGACTTGGGAGACTGAGGTAGGAGGTTCACAAGTTCAAGACCAGCCTAGGCAACTTAGAGAGACCCTGTCTTAAAATAAAAAGTAAAATAAAAGGGACTGAGGATGTAGCTCTGTAGTGAAAGTGACCTTGCATTCAATCTTTAGGACCAAAGAAGAAGAAGGAGGGCTAAGGTTGTGGCTCAGTAGAGTGTGGCTAGGTAGAGTGCTTGCCTAGCATGTGTGAAGCACTGGCTTCAATTCTCAGTTCAGTAAAATAAAAGTATTTAAAAAAAAAAAGGAGGAGGAAGAAGCAGCAAAGTGATAGATTTAAGAAACAGAGAAAAATACTCATGGCTTGGAGACTGAAAGACGACAACACAGGGAACATGAAAACCAGGAGTCAGGGAAAGCCAGGCTTTTGGTCTGGAGGCCTAGAGTGTGATGGTCTGAGGTGAAGATGTGCCCTTTTCATCCTGAAAGTAGTCAGTGTTTTCATTCTCTTTACAGAGTTGGGCTACACAGAAATCTCAGAGTCCTTGGATCATACTTTTCTAATACTTCCAGGACACTGTCTGGGGATGGCTTTTTCCAACTTGTATTACAACTTTGAACTACAAAAGTTTTGTAATTCCAAGAATCTGAGCCAGATTGAGTGCAAAGAAGTTTGTGAGTATTTAAATGTAATTTGTTAATTACATTTTATTTAGATATATTCAGATAATGTTCTTCCTTTTATGTAAAATGGTATAGTAATGTAAGATTTATGTAAAATTGCATATAACCTATGTACATCCTCCCATGTACTGTATTGATGTATTTATTTTTTGGTACTGGGGATTGAACCCAGAGACACTTTGCCACTGAGCTACATTCCCAGTCCTTTTTATTTTTTTTGTTTTGAGACAGGGCCTCACTAAGTTACTGAGGCTGGCCTTGAATTTGTGATTCTCTTGCCTCAGCCTCCAAGTCACTGGGATTATAGATGTGTGCCACCATACCCAGCCTCTTAAATAGTTTAAATCATCACTAGATCATTTATAATACTGAATATAATATAAATGTTATATAAATAGATGATATGCAGTATCACTTAGAGAATAAAGACATAAAAATCTGTTCAGTACAGATGCAATTTTTCTTTTCTGAATATTTTCAACTCATGATTGAGTGAATGCAGAGTTTATAGATACAGAAGGCTGGTTTTATTATGTCATTTTACAAAGGTACTTAAGCATTTGTAGATATTTATGTTCAGGAGGAGTCTTGGAATCCATGCTATGCAGATAGTGAGGAATGACTCCAACCTGCATGTGCACCAAAAAGAGATTGGTTAATAAACTATGGTATATATACATACATACAATATAAAATGATGCAGGCATCAAAAAGAATTATTTTGATCTGTGTGTCCTCATGTGGTTAGTGTCCATTATGCATTATTAAATGAAACAGTAAATTGGGGAAGATAATGCATAGTGTCATTCCACATTTATTTTATTTTTTTTTTAAAGAGAGAGTGAGAGAGGAGAGAGAGAGAGATAGAGAATTTTTTTTTAATATTTATTTTTCAGTTCTCG